CATTGCATAAATGTGTGCTGATGCTGAATGAAGTGAACCAAAGATGCATGAAAGTCTGCAATAGAGCTGCAACAGCAGCAGCTTCTCTTGCCGCATGCTCCGAGGCGTACCTTTCTTTTTCCTCTGTTTCTTAATCAAAGTCTCTCTGCACACATTTTCCAGCCGGAGACGGTAGACGAGGAGCTGTTCCTCACAGCAGTCATGGAGAACAAACTGGCTGTGGTGGAGAAGTACCTGTCTGACGGAGGAAGCCCCGATGCAAGCGACAATGTGAGTGTGGCACAGCGATGTCTGCCTGCAGCACGTCACAATCTCAAACATTAGCATGTTGAAGTCATGTACAGTAATCACACGCATGAAGCTTCTTTTTCTGTATGACGTCCAGTTCCAGAGAACAGCTCTGCACAAAGCTTCTTTCAAAGGACACGTGGAGGTCATGCAAAGACTTCTGGAGGCCGGAGCGGCTATGGAGCAAAAAGACAAGGTGAGCATTTTAAATATGTCACACCTTCTCTTTTACCCCCTTTATTAGTGATGTTTCCACCACACACACACACACATACACACACAGAGTTATTCTAACACGTTGGGCTGTGTGTGTGTTTTCAGCTGGAGGCCACAGCGGTCCACTGGGCCTGCAGGGGAGGCAGCCTGCCGGCCTTGCAGCTCCTCCTGGATCGAGGAGCCAAGTTCACCTCCAGAGACAAGGTTGGTGGACTTGTGAGGAAGGGTTACTCGAGGTCACAACAGCTGCAGCCGGTTCTTTATTTTGAAAATTACTTTGGCTCCATCTAGTGGTGTGAGCAGCACTCGCCCAGATACTTTCATAAAATACTCGACTTTAATATTTTCGTGACATTTGATTTTCAGAATTTCTTCGTGCATGAACATAAACTCCTCTTCTTCTCCTCCTCTCCCTCAGCTGCACAGCACTCCTCTGCACGTGGCTGTGAGGACCGGACACTGCGATTGTGCCGAGCACCTCATTCACTGTGGAGCAGACCTGAACGCCAAAGACCGAGTAAGCACTAAAGTACAAGCAACAGGACTTCAGCAAACAGACGGTGATGTCACAGCGGCTTCATCCATCCTTTATATACAGTCTATGAAATAATAAAGCCAGTTCAGCTTCAGGCACTCCTGCAGAGCGTTGTATGGGTAACTCATTGTAAAAGAATTAGTGTTTGTTTGGAGCTGGATGTTTATCGTTGCATTTTTCTAAAACGTAGAACAGAGTTTAGTTTGTTCCTCGGCTGCTGGGTTCTTCTTCCTCGTGGTCTATTTCTCCCTGAATTTGGGGCACATTAATAAGTTAAGCACCTGTGTCCTGACACCAGCGATCCGTAATTACACCAACCAAAAGATGATGATCGTGATAAATGATAAAAATAGGCGTTCAGTTTATTCCCAGCTGAAATGTGGGTTTTCCTCCTCGGCTGTAGGACGGAGACACGCCCATGCACGATGCTGTGAGAATAAACCGATTCAAGATGATCAAGCTGCTGATGATGTACGGCGCCAGTCTCAACACAAAGAACTCTGTAAGTACACAACGCCTCCTCCAGAGAGTCAACTGGGTTTTTGAAACTACACACAATATGTCGTACGCCATGTGTCGTCACACCTGAATCGTTTACACTGATTTGAAAAGCGCAACAAGCCTTGCATGTGACGTTTTCTACAATTAGGATCACACAGTCACAAGAAGGGACCTAATTTTGCACGCAGGGATATTCAGAGGTGTGATTCTGTTCTGGCATCTTCGTGCTCTTTAATCTGCCTCAAAGCCGGAGGCGCCGAGTCTGGCCCCTTTAAATCAGACACAACCTGAAGGAAAGAACTGGGTTGCATTTGAGCAACAGCTTACCTGCCTCCCTGCATTCCTTATATGAGTTTCAGCAGCTGGAGGGCGTATCAGCCGAGTCATTAGCTCGGGTACGCTGACATCTGATATCAAGCCCCTCAAAACTTCACTCAAAAATCTTTCTTTGTGTCTTTGTGCATAGTTAAAGTAGACTGATGTCGACAAAACCTCTGCTTTTCTTAAAAAATGATTATGCTGAATAATCTGTTTGTTTAGTGAGAACATGTGCATCATCCTGTCTGCAGGGCCAGTACCAGAAAAGGAACATTCAAAGTTTCTTTTTCCCTTGCAGGACGGGAAAACTCCAATGGAGACATTGTATTCATGGCAGAATGGAGCCAAGAGCCTCCTGTGCAACTTCAGCGAGGAGAAGCTGGATCAGTAGAGTTCAGTAAAAACAGGAAGTCAAACTGAAAATGAGCCACAGGATCTCCTGGCCACACTGAGGTCCGCCAAGTGCACACTGCAGTTTATCCTGAGAAGCTTTCCAGAGTGCGGATGCTGTTTTTTCCTACTCACAGATATCGTGTTCCTCAGGAAATGAGCTGATGGACGTTATATGGATGTCATCCTAGTTCAGCGACTTTTCTTTGACCTGCTGAGGTTTTTTTCCTCTTGTAATATTAATGTATCATATGTACGGTCACCATGGAGACCAGAGTGAAGGAGCGTTTGATCGACAATGTGAAATCTAATCAGGATGATGTCATTATTAGCGCCGATAAATTCACTGATCGCCAAATATTGCTGGACAATGTCTCGGACGACAGTACCTGCTTTTCCCTTAAAGCTGAGTTAAAGTCAGCGAGAAGGTGAATTATTTATTAATGACAATTCAGTGTCAGGTTCATTAGCTTCGATTGTTTGATTTAATACGTTTAATAACTGAGTGACTGAGTTATGTTGCAGTTGGTTTGTTGATTTTAACGGTCAGAGTAACTAATATATGTTGTGAGTCTATTAGGAAGCAACAAATATAACTTGACTGTTTTAGCTTTTGCAAATGTGCTTGTAGTTCAGCTGGATGTGCAGATTTAAGGTGAAGCGTGCATCGTGTAAAAACCCTGCAGCTCAGTGAGCATCATCGTTTCTACGACGATGCGTGTCTCACAGGTTCTTCGGTCTTATGTGTTTGCAGATGAGAGATGAGGCAGGATAAAGTGAGCTTTGGTCAGGTTGATGAAGAGCTCTCCACTTACATTTGATTTCTGTTGAATTCGGACGTCTTTATGTGGTTTTAAAACGTGGATGTGGCCACTGTGCAGTGTCCAGCGGTTCGTGAATGACCACTTCAAACTCCCGGCTAAAGTTTTGGCCTTGCACACTTTGGGTTTTTGAAAGCACTAAAGCGTATCCTTCTTTGTTTAATATGCTTTAAACGGGACCATAGTTTCCAAAATGAACGTCGTGTTGTATTCCCTGGAACTAAATCAACTGACTTCTATACACAGCCAAGGAATCGCCCCCTACTGGCCATTAAAATACAGTTTAAGGGACACTGACATACGTTTAGCTCATTTTATGTTCGTATTTTTCCCCTTTTCTTTCTTTTTTAAATAAAAAGTTCTGTTTGGGGTTTAAAAAAGGTAATGTTTTAGACTTTGGTCCCTTTTCTGATTTCAGTTGGTTTCTTTTATTTCTTAAAAAATATACAACTGTGAGAGAGAAGCAGACACTGTTGGTTAAGAGGAAGTTTTTAAGTTTGTGTTTAAAGATGAAATTGACTTTTTTTCCCTCTGTTGTTTGATGTAATGAATAAAAGACTGATTTTTAATGCAATTTGCTGTTTATTGAAGGATGCAGTAAATATAACCTGTGCGTTACTTTAACAGGCTGCATGTCTGTACAGGTGTATGTGTATAAAAATAACTGTTTACATTTGAAAATAAAATGTATTTATTTTTTTCTTCCCATTTTTCCCCATTTTGAGGCTATTATGGGGTTTTATTTTCAAGAACAATTCTACATTTTTAATGACAACATCATTACTCAACAAAACAATGCTTCCCATTACTTTCCATTTGACACATCAGCTGAGAGGAGAGAGCTGAATCCACCGCGAGGCGTTCACTTGTAAACGGTTTTGTTTGTGTTGCAGCTTTAAGGCAGGGATGACTCCGGGAGTTGCTTTCTCACTGCATACGCTTTATTTCACAATCAGATCGATAACACAAACATACAGCAGCTCCTCTCCGACTCCTAGCCCTTCGCTGCGGTGGAAAAAAGAACGACTCCAAAACCCCTTCAAGGAACATACGTACAAAAGACTTTTCCTGACACACCAATGGGGCCTTCAATGACATCTTGTAAATATGAGTACTTTGGCAGAATAACAGTTCAAATGACAAATACACCAGAACAAACAAGCAAACAAAAAAAGAAGTGTGGGGTACCTTTGAACCAATGAACAAAGTATAACAATTTATACTTTTTAACATAACCCGACCCCGTCAATGTGTATCTCTCACATTTGCATACCAATTTTCTTTCTTTTCCTGCATTTCCAAAATATTTTGCTTCTCCTTCTCTCTGCGTAAATCAAGCCACCTGTCCTACAGTCAGTCACACTGTCGATGTGGTGCTGTCAGCCTTAATGCAGCAGCACAAAGATGCCACCAGCTTGTCAGTGAACCAGTCACACATGAAAACGAAAAGAATCAAGTCCACAAAAGGACTGAGCAGAAATAAGGTCATAATAACATCTGTGGAATGTGTTACAATGTATTCAGTGTGATCTAACATGTAAGATCTGATGTGAAAAATCAAAACGATCATTGGCGCGATCATCACGAAGTAGTTAACGAACAGTAGAACTACTGCTCCCACAATTCTTTGTTTTTCCTTAACAGGCACTGAGGTGGCAGCAGGCAGACACTTGAGGGTCCCTGCTAAGCAGAGGATGTACAGTGGAGCGAGGAGTATGGCCAGAATACAAACGATAAATTGTTTGTCTGCAGCAAGGGAGATGGTAATAATGCAAATGACCCAGGTCATAGCGCAAGCCAGCACAGAAATCGTAGTTTTTCTGATGCTGTCCAACTGTCTGAAGACGATGATAGAGGATCTGCAACACAATTCAGAAGTTCATATTTCTGGCCATAAGGATGTTTCACTGAGGAATAGAATGGAAGTACAAACGAAGACACGTACCCTTCTAGAGAAATGCATATTTTGAAGCCAAGATTAGCCATCATACTGAAGGCATAACAAGAAACGGAGGGGGAGATGTACTGAAGCTGGCCTGGGTTTGCCACCAAAGCGATCATGGTGAACAGCTGGAGGAGAGTGGTGATGAGGAGGTTTGTGTAGTAGATGACAGGAACCTGCCCGCGTTTTATCTGCAGGAAGTATGAAAGTCACATTAAAGCAGTAATAAGCATGACACGTCGTCTCAAGATCTCTACAAGAAAACAGCTTTTATGTAGATGATGTTCAGTTCAGTCTCTCTGCAGTTCCTGCGTTCGCTTTCAGGGAAATACACGAGGATGACCAGCAATGTGTAGGACACACAAACCGCTTTGGGATTGCATCAGGACGGTTAACTGGTGTGATCGGGCAAATCAAAGCTGCAGTGCTATCCTGCTTTGGTGACCACTTGTGAATAAGGAGAAGCTAAAGGTGATTTTATTTCAGTTACCTGCAGACTGCAACAAGAAATTACATTTTATAAGCTGCTAAACACTAAAAACAGAGAGGTGCAGGACTGTGCAAAACGTTTGAGCCACACGTGATCTATTTGGTTTCCAAGGAACCAGACTTTGACAATTTTTTAAAGGCTCTGCCTCCCATTTGACTTTTAAATGGCCGCCCACAAGAAAGCCTGCAGGCTGAGAGCAGATGTTAAACAAATATGCAGGACTGCTTTATTTCATTTGTGCAACATCTCTAAAATTAGAAATATCCTGTTGGCTTCCTGTTAAATCCAGAATTCAAAATCCTGCT